TGTTGATTCTTTCCTCACCTCTCTTCGGAGCGCCGCAACCTCCTCCGTCAAAGTTTTCACCAGGTCCTCCAGCGGGGGCGACCGCTGTGTTAGTCGGCGGAACCGGTTCGCATCGCGTGGTTCTTATTGACGGCGCTTGGCCTGTGGTTCCGGAGGGACCAGGCATATCTGTATCCTCTTGCCGTCTTTTCCGGCTGCATCTTTTCCAGTTGCGTGATTCCTACTCGTCGTCTTGGTGGCGGAATTGTGGCTTTGTCTGGCGAGCATACTTTCTAATTTCTCGACTCTTTTTTCAAGGTCTTGTTTATGCGCCTTGAGCATCAGATTCTCTGCCTCGAGAGCGCTTTTATTTGCAGACACGCATTTTCTTTTAACTATCTCTGTGGTGTCAGCACGCACCTTCCCGGCTACATCTCTCAGGTACCGCTTGTAGGAACCTTTGAGATTCCCCGAGGCAGTCGTTATTTTTTTCATAGTCATCGCGCACTCGATGACTATGGCGACCAAGTCAGCAGTCGACAGTTCTCTGGCCTCTGCCTCTCTTTCTGCGTCGGTCGGCAGACGCTTGGAGGTCCTTGACAGTCGGGGCGCGTCTATCGCCGAGTCGAAGAAATATTGGTCATCCTCTTCGTAGTCTCGCTCCTCCTGTTGTTCGTCAGGGTGCTCTTCGCGGGACGCGGTCTTCTTGTACGCGTCCCTTGCACGCTTCTTGGCGTTCTCTCTTTTTACCCTTTCTTCTGGGTAACCGCTTACTGAATCTGTAAAAGTCATTCAAGTCGGTATCCTCGGTGCTTATCAGATGCTGCTCCAGATGCATATTTAATGCAGTAGGCCTGGGCAGCCAACCGCTGGCACTCGCAGTCTACCGATAACGATGGGGAGGGGACCCGCTCTACTACCCCCTCCTCACCGGGCCTGGAGTCTCCGAACCGTCCTGCGCCGGTAATTTTATTCTCCTTATGTCTGTCTATCATAATTGTTTTCCAAGAATTTTCCATCCCAGTCGTCCTCAATGTGCCAGGCCTGGGGTCTACTAAGCACACCGTCTTCTTGTAGACACTCGATGACGACGAGGCCGGACCCTGCTCGTCTGCTCCGACCACGCCGGGATTGGGGACACCTAACTCCTCTATACCTGTAATCTCTAATTTTGTGTTATTTTCCATCATTATTAATTATTTAGATCTCCTCCTTCCTCTCGATCACTCGCTCTTTCGCACCCTGTTTCAAGAGGCTGAAGCCTGCTTGCCACAGAGCTCCAGGGAACACCACGGGGAGGTGAGGTGAGTAGACCATTTGATCGATACAAGTCCTCAACTTCACCGAAGAGACACCGCGAAGTAGGCCTTATGTGAATCATCAGCTACATCGAGGTTTTTGATCCTGTTCAGGTTACTCTGAGGTTAGAAAAACCTGTACCAACCTTAGCTCCCCAAGGCCAAGATAATCTTACCATTTTCGTGTCACATCCTGTTGTACCGATTTTGCGACCACAGCACTATTAGTGGGGAAAATTAAAAAATATGAACAGTGTTGTCAAATCTGTGTCGAGAATTATTTATTGAATTTAATGGTACTTCATTAATGAAGGAATATAAACAGCGAATAATGGAAATTGGGATGAAAAATTTGGTACATATTTGACTATTAACATCTATTTAAAAGTATTAGAAAAA